AGCCGAGTACATTGCTGCCGGGGAGGGTGTCAAGGAGGCGTTGTTTGTGCGTGCTGTGCTTTCGTTTGTTGCCCCAGAGACCAGAGGTAGAAGCACCCAGGTCCTTGACGACAACCAGGGGGGCATAGCGTTATTGCAGAACCCCTCAGCTCAGGTCGCACGAAACACATCGACGTGAGGTTTCATTTCATCCGAGGATTGTTTAGGTCGGGGGATATTTCGGTCAAGTTTGTTCCGACAACGGAGCAACACGCGGACCTCCTTACCAAGGCCCTTAGCAGGGTCAGTCTGCAGTACCACCGGCGCAAGCTGATGANCTGCCGGAGTAGCTGTAGCAGTTTTTGCCACTTGCCTTGGACTTCCCTATAAGTGCGGCCGTTGTAAGCCGCTGTGATAGCGACGGTTGTTGTGTGGTAGGGTTTATTCGAGGGGTTTTGCCCGGACGCCGGGTTCCCCTCCACATATTACTATGTTGGTATTTCTGATGTATCCAGGAGCGTTCTTGCCCCATTGATGGTTAGTCACTTGCGTGATGAACCAGGGAGGATGTTCGTGGGTCTGCGAACATTGGTGTTGGATATATGTGCTGTATGATTTTGGTGTCACGCAGACTGGTAAGATTGCCGTTTGGTAGGGGGCACCGCGATGAGTCACGGGGCCCCTCCTTGGTATTGGAGCTGCCCATGTGGGGCACTCCCTCATTTGTCCGTGTGAAGGACGGTCGTCTACCTCTCGTGAAGTTAATACATCACCAAAACAGTCTCACCCGATAAATATGTGGCGTAGGCCGCAAATACACTCCGTCGTTTTATGAATGCAGTTGCCCCCCCTCCCGTCTTGACAATACCAACCCCCATCTCTCCGTCTCGTTGCATGTTCTTGTTGCAGTTCTGTGCACGTTGAGACGGAGAAGTCACAACGTATGACTACCTGTTGTTGTTGTTGTTGTTGTTGTTATTGTTGTTGTTGTTGTTGTTGTTGTTGTTGTTGTTGTCTTCACACAAAAATCGTTCCAATCTCTCTCTACCCAGTACCTTCGTATGTCCGTACTGATCCAANCACTCCGTCGTTTTATGAATGCAGTTGCCCCCCCTCCCGTCTTGACAATACCAACCCCCATCTCTCCGTCTCGTTGCATGTTCTTGTTGCAGTTCTGTGCACGTTGAGACGGAGAAGTCACAACGTATGACTACCTGTTGTTGTTGTTGTTGTTGTTGTTATTGTTGTTGTTGTTGTTGTTGTTGTTGTTGTTGTTGTCTTCACACAAAAATCGTTCCAATCTCTCTCTACCCAGTACCTTCGTATGTCCGTACTGATCCAACACTCGACGCGGTCGATTCCCGTGGTCGTAGGCTAACTTACCCTGTAAAGGTACACTCAAATGAAATGGCCCCGAGGGGTCCGCAAGTCAGTAGAAATCAACAACAGATATTCTGGAGTCCTCCACTCCCTCTGCGCGCTATGCGAGGTAACAACTGAGACGAGGAGTCACCAGCACGGGTCGGAGAGAATGAGGTAAACCCCCTTGGTTCAATCTTGGTACTCTACAGCGCAAGCAGAAACAAGGCCATCTGGCACAGAAAAGAGAGAGAAAAAGAGAAAAAGAGAAGAAAATAAAAGGAAACAGTGAGGAAAGCGAAAATGAAATAATAAGAGCGAGGACAAAAAGGGACCAGGCCGAAAATAACAAGAAGTAAGAGACAGAGAAAGGCATACGGTGGAGAGACCACTAACGACACTACCTGTGCCTACACACGAAACTGGTGGTCGTTCGACGTGAACATAAGTACTTACAATAGTTCAGATCCATCCACCAATCCTGCCAACCATCACGGCAAACGAAAGAAACGCTATCCTCACCAACCCTTGTCCAACACATGTACTGCTGTAGCAAATCCGTTCTGTCGCGTTTCATTTGATTTTTCGATTTTTCCTGCAGGAGGGGCAACTGGGAGGGCCAAACGACGTACGTGCTGCCTCCATCCAAAACCGAAAGTGAATGCAATTACGACGGCACCTGCGCTGTAGAGTGATCCTCTACTTTTTCGTGTGGTTCTTCATGTACCTTGGCTACAGCGGCGTCAGAGATCGGTGGCGGTAGAATTGGCGTTGACCACCGGCGACTGCGGAACGCCACGCAAACATCGCGGTGTACTGTGCGCGCCGCGCCACCAACACCGATAACATCTTGGCCTACGCCCAGCGGAAACAAGCGCAGGAATGGGAAGAGGCCTGCTGGCCGCCCAGCGCGCCGACGACCGCCGCCAGGAGGACGCGTTGGTCGCCGAGCAGGCCCGCGCTGATCAACAGCGCGAACACGATCTTCGGGTTCGGGCGGGGCGCTCCGTGCCGGGACCGGCCCCTGCTGCCGCTCCTGCTCCGTCGGCATCGGTGGCTCGGACGTGCGCCGCTGTCGCCTCCAGCCCTGTGACTCGGGCTTCATCACGGTCGTGCTCCGTCACCTTCGAGGCCGGGAACGCTAGATTCACCCAGGCCAGGTTGTCCGACGTTGCCAGGTACGCCCAGGTCAACTATCAGGTAGACGACAGCACGGTCGTTATGGATCTAGCGGCTGGCGTGTCCACCGCCCTGCCGTCGGCTTCCTCCATCCAGGACGCCGCCGACGTGGCAAACGGGTCTCGGCCCGACCTCCAAGACGTGGTGAGCTGGCTCCTCGTGGCGATGCGGGCGGCCACCATGAACGCAACGTCTCCGGTGGTGTGGCCCGGCTGCACCGTGGCGGCTCCGGCATCTTCGGCGTTCCAGCAGCCCAAGGCCGGCCGCGTCAAGGCCAAGCCGGCCCAGCGCACCGTGCGAGAGAGTAGCTCGGGCGAGGACTCGGGCTGGAGTTCCGCCGGAGCGTCTCGCCGCCCCACGGAGCCATCGTCATCGGCAGGCGATGGCCGGGCACGGCAGCAGGCCAAGCGCCACACGAGTGGGACTCGTGGCAGTGGAGGCGGATCGGGCTCAGGCTCAGACTGGAGTCCAACGGAAGCACGGCGCTCGGAAGGGCTCTTATTCCAGGCAAGTGGTCCCGTCCCTTATGGATGTGACGTTGAGTGATTGTTTCCTTTTACATGGTGATTTTTTTTCTCAGGCTTCGGTCCCCCCCTCGACTTCGGTTGTTGGTACGGTTTCGCCCCCCCCTGTTTCCTCGGACTCAGGGCGTTTGCGTCGTGTTGCGCTTTCGGACCTTCCTCCGCCTTTGGCTTCCCCCGTTTCTTCGTAACCCTTTGCACCTTTTGTCCCTTCTGCCGCATTCAATGCTGTACAGTATAGACTCCGGACGTGTACGTAGCGTTGACTTTTCGAACTCAGCCCCGGTTTCGGCCGCCCCTGTTTCTTTGGAAACCTCTGTACCCCGTAGCCTTTCTACCGCTCGCCATGCCCTAGATCCACGACTGATGCAGAACCATGGGTTTTCGAACCTCAACCCCCCTNCTTTCGGACCTTCCTCCGCCTTTGGCTTCCCCCGTTTCTTCGTAACCCTTTGCACCTTTTGTCCCTTCTGCCGCATTCAATGCTGTACAGTATAGACTCCGGACGTGTACGTAGCGTTGACTTTTCGAACTCAGCCCCGGTTTCGGCCGCCCCTGTTTCTTTGGAAACCTCTGTACCCCGTAGCCTTTCTACCGCTCGCCATGCCCTAGATCCACGACTGATGCAGAACCATGGGTTTTCGAACCTCAACCCCCCTTCGGCGCTTGTACCACTTGTGCCGGGTGTTTCGCGGAGTATGTTGTCCTCAAACCATGCTTCCACAGCTGCTTCGGTAGCCGTCGCCGCACCCCCTGCTGTTTCCGATGATCGTGTCCTGCCACTCTCTTCTAACACGGCACACACTCGTCAAGCATCGATCGATGCGACTGATGCAGCTGCTCATAATGCTCATGTAGCTACAGTACAACGAGCGTACATCACCCTCAACTTGAAAAAGTTGACAATGTCGCTGCCATGCCCTTCTCCGCTACTCTGTTGCCGAGAGACGGCTATCAGCAGCTTATTTGCACAAGAACGGCTTCGTCCGATATTTTGATGTTGTGTTATGAGCAGAGTGAAGGTTTAACAGGCACTGATTTTGTGCGTGGATGGGAACGTCCTCTCGAAAAATAACTCTTGAGTGCGATCACCCCTGACAAGCCCTCTACCGCCGATCTCGTCCTTGCCATTACGGATTACTTTCAGCTAGTGGAACGGAGCTTGGATGGAGGAGCCCCTGGACCAGACGCTTTCCAGCTACTGTTGCGCCACCTGGCGGAGCAATTTGACGTCGGAGACCGCCAAGAGTCGTTTTTGCGGCTGCAACAATTTGGTGTAGCAGATGGTACTCCTTTCGCGGATTATCTTCGGGCTTTCCGACTGTTAGTTTCGTCTGTGACTGGCTCTGAGCGCACTTTGGCCCCTAGTGTATCCATGGTTATCGAAATAGTGCGAAACTCGGTCGACAAGCAATTTCCGAGTCTGTCTCCGCTTTTTGTACCCGGCTGCTCTGGCCACTGCGGTCACTCCCTTTGAGTCAATTGCAGTTATGTGGGAGGCGTTCGCGCCTTTGGCGACTAGTAAAACCCCGGCTATCGGTGGTTCATCATATTTTTCGTTGACTTCGAAGCGTGGCTCTTCGCAGCCTCGGCGGTCTAGCCACCGCGCCCCTGCGTCTTCGGGACAGTGGGCATCCAGCTCCGCACGGAACCCTGTAGTTTTGCCCGTGCAACGTCAAGTCGCAGATCCTTTCACGCACAACTACAACTCGTGGCCTGCTTCGCAAGCCGACTGGTCTGATGTGTACGCCCTCACCGCTAATCTTCGTGACACCGATGATCGTTTTTTATGAATTCCTTTGTTGACACAAGAGGCTCGATCGCAAGCCTTCCGCGAAAACAGAAACCGCTGTCTGAACTGCTCGGGTGATGACCATTCCATGAAGAAATGTGCTTCTCCCTTCACGAATTCTAGTGGGCTGTTGAATCCCGAGTTGGGTCACCTCAATGACGACTGCTGCCTTTAGGCGTTGGCAAGTCTTCAGGCGTAAGGGTTCAGATGGCCGCAATAACAATCAGGGTAGACGCCACCGGCAGTCTTCTTCCTCCTCCTCTCAGCTTGGAAACCACGCTGGGCCTCGCCGTTCCGATGGTGGTAAATAGTTCCTCTCACAACCACCACCAACAATCACACCACGGTGGTCAAACCGCGGGACATTCCGCGGGTAACCATCATCATACACAACAGACGTCTGGCAACACCCACGACACTGGTGCTCTGTCCGTCTATCAACCCCAATCGCATGCTCAAACTGGTTCCTCGTCTGGCGTCATGGTTTCGACCAATCACAACGCACGCCAACCTGGTAACTTCCACAGTGGCGGCCGTTCATGTACCGGATGACTTCCCGACGATGGTTCGCCTCCTTCCTTCGGACCGCCTGCAGCATCTTTGGGAATTTCGTCTCGCTCAACACAAGACTCGCGTGTATCACCCTCAGTTGCCTCTAGCACTTCGGTCCTACGCAATCACAACAATACTTGTTTTCGGGTGGATGAGGTTGGGGTCTTGTTCGTTTTTCTCCATCAAAGGTTCGTGCCTAGAGTTCAGCTGTAGTGTTTCAAACAAAGTTCTGTTGACTTAGAGGCAAACATTCCTAGCTATTGGGCATCGAGTTAATCTGGCTTGGCATGACGGCCTTTACGATCGACTTTTTTTGTATGTCTGCATTTATCTGCAATTGTCGGAGGGCAAACACAACAATAATATTTAAAAAAATACTTCGGTGAATGTTCTCCCTACGGACTCTCGCACTTCGGTGCTATCCAATGACAGCGGTACTCAGGCACAAGCTGTTTCTGCAAGTGTCGATCAGGTCGGTCTTCAGCCAAATGCTCACATCCCACCTTCGCCATCGCACTTATCGTCTGCAACCTCTGCACCCTCGCTTCGTCGGACTGCTGCTTCGTCGGAAACTAATCAGTCTGACGTGAGTGCTGTCTTGATGTGCGGGAACAGACCCGTCGGACCTTCGGGGCCATTGAATTCTCCTCGTTCGTCGAGCACCTCAAGCTCGCTCCCCCCGTCGTCTGCAGATAGGATCGGCAGTAGCCATGACCTTTGGACGATTGATGAGGAACTGCTCGAATTGATTGCTTCAGGTGCTTCTTCGGATACGCCCAATTCGTCTATGCTCGCTTCCGTTGAGGGTCCGCCTTCGACTGTTGCACCGATAGCTGACATGACTGGTTCCGACCGGCAAGTTTTAGGGCCAAATTCGTCTGGCTTCGAATCGCTTTGTCCCCCTGGTTCCGATCACCGGACATCCTCAGATTCCGCCACGCGACATTTCGACCGTGGGTCGTCTTTACAAGCCCCACCTTGTCCGGCGCACGCTCGCACAACGGCACCCACTTCTAGGCTGCTGCGACCGACGTCGACAGTGTTGACACCACCGCTTCGGGAGGACGCCCCCGAAGTGACCTCCGAACAGCCGGCGGTCTCGCGTACCTTGTCACGGGGGAATAGCCAGGAGCGCCATGCTCGGTTCAGTCTTCAACTAACCCGGCTTTGGCAGCCGTTCCCAGCGAAAGCGGCCTGTTGCCCAACACCTTACGAGACGTTTCTTCAGGTTTAGAATTGGGGCGCACCCAGCCCACTTTTGCTGGCCCAATTCATGCGAACAATCCGACTCAGGTCGATTCTTCGTCGGTTCCCGCTGTTACAAGGACCACCCCTATGGATAACCATACTGTCCATCATGACTCCACATCTTCGGCTGCGACTCCAGCTTCGACTGACAGCACTCAGGGCGCTCTGGCCTCTATTACTCCGGCCGTTTTCGACCCGTCTACCGAGTATTGTACTCCAGACATGGTTTTATTTTGGAAGCCGCCCTCCCCCTTTCCCAATGGACACCGTCGACCTTCACGGTCGATGGCGTTGTTTAATCGTGTGCCGAACAATTTTTCGCCGCAGAAAAAGCCCGTCTTTTCGGAGATCGCTGCGCTTTGCAGAACGTCATGCGAGCGTCAGACCCTGCCTTACGCAATTTTTTTGGCCGTGAGGTCCGTGGTTTCGACTAATCTCTTTGGGAACAAGAACGCGAAAACACTGTGCTCACTGGCTCTTACGCAAAATTTAGACAAAATTCCGAGTTACGAAGTCATCTCCTCGGATCTGGTGACAAAATCCTTGCCGAAGCCAGTCCTTACGACCGTGTTTGAGGCATTGGCCTCCAGGCCGATCATCCTGACGCTCGATACACATACAGATGGCGCGACCTCAATCTCTTAGGCACCGCTCACAGAACGTACGCAGTCTTTTACGACACCGTGCCCCGCCTCCCGAGAGCAGCTCTTGTTTGCTGCCCCCGACCGACCACGTTCCGACGTCGTCCCTTCATTCTGCGGTGTATGAAGTTAACCCTTCCACACACCAGCACCTTTGGACGGCTTCGCGCCCTCCATCGACCGACCGGTTCGCGTCATTTTTGCAATACGCCCCGAATGGTCCGTCGGATCACGACACCGCCGTTTGGGCCGTGTCTTCCGGGTACATCCCGTCGTCCTCCTCCTCGCTCCCAAAGCACGGTCCGGATTTGGTTGGTGGTGTTGTCACCATCGATGACGACTCTTTCACCACCAGAATCCTCCTCCACAGCTGTTCGGCCTCTGTGCAGTTTGGGTGTGTCGCTCTTTTGGATACGGGTTCTCCGCAATCTTTTATTGGTGCTTCTGCATGGGAATCCATGAAAACGGCTTCGGCTGCTTCGACGTTGTCTGAGAAATACACCCAACTCGCTGTTGGGGTGGTTTGGGGAAATCTGCGCCGCTTCAAACTTCGACTACTGTCCGTTTGATTGTCCAGTTTCTCCGTAAGAACCTTCCTACTTCCATTCTTGCTGTTTGGGCATACATTGTTCCTGACGGCGTCATGCATCATGACGTGCTCCTCGGTAGAGATAGTTGGATGAGGCTTAGTGACCGTTCTTACCACACTTTGCGTGCGAAACGTCCTGGTGACCGTGTCTTTGGTGAGCTTATATTAGCCCAACATGACACTTGTGGTGCCACTGCATTTGCTCACGATCTGTCCGCAACGGATGGAAGTTGCCAACTTCGCTCTGCAGGCAAACACTCCGTTCAACTTCATCCAGAGCATAGCCTCATTCAGGTCAATTTGGTACGCAGTGATGGCTCGCCTGCCCTTGTGGGTAACTATTTGGTGGATATGCTTCCCCAATGTACTATGTTTTCTGCCGAGGAATATTTTGTGCAAAATGGTTGCCAACGAATCCCTCTTGCGGGCATCTTGTCTCTCGAACCCGGCGACGTTCTGGGTACAGCTTCGGCTCCCCTTCTTCGCGTGCCACTTATCGCTGTCTCTCGCCACAGATTGAGCGATGGTCTTCAAACTGCGGCTTCAGAATCCACCGCTGCTTCAGACAGCTGGGTCCCTGGTCCTGTTTCTCCTGGTGGCGTTGATTCGTCTGCCACGCACTCCGTCTCTGATCCCTTTGTGTATAGTTTGCACGAGCGACCCGCCCCGTCGCCAAGCGACCGAGGTGGCTTCGGTTCCGCCAGTGCTTCCTCTTCGTCGCCTTCGCCTGCTCTTCTCGAGCGGTTGACGCCAGAACAGCGTCAAAGTTTCTCCCAAGTCTGGGATAAGCTCCCCTGCCATCTCCGTGAGGTTACTTTTGATCTCCACGGCGCGGGTTGGACTTCCGATGTCATTACTCAGCTTGGTAACGTTTTGTGCGAATACCATGATGTGTGTTCGAGTTCTCCGACCGACTTTGGATCTTGTTCACTTTTTCCTTTTAAGCTTACAGTTCCTCCTGGCAGTGCACCCGTCACGTCTCGCCCCTACCGCGTTAATCCCCCGGTGGCGAAACAAGTTGACGCGATCCTTGACCAATATCTTGCGGCAGCTTTGATCCAACAGTCGACCTCGCCTTACTCGAGCCCTTTGGTAGTCATACCGAAGACACCTGGTGGCGTTCGCATCACCGTCAATTATCGCAAGCTCAACAAGCTTTGTGCTTTGAGTCAGCTTCCGATTCCTCGAGTCGATGATACTTTGGACAAGTTGTTGAAAGGGCGAATTTATTCTCTTTTCGACATGAAATCTTCGTTCCACCAAATCACGGTGCACCGCGATACAACCCCTTTGACGGCATTCGTGACATCTTCCGGGGTTTTCGAGTGGTTGAAGATGCCTCAAGGCAGTTCGGCTGCCCCTGGGTTTTTTTGCAAAACTCCGCGGTGTTGCATCGTACTTGGATGATTTAATCGTCTTTGATGACACCCCTGCTACTCATGTTGGTACCATGCGCGCCCCCTTTGAACGCTTGCGTGCGCAAAACTTGAAACTCACGCCGCCGAAAGCTACTATTGGCGCTACTGAAGCAGACTTCCTCGGACACACCATCTACCCTTACCGCGTTAGGCCTAACGGTGCCAAGGTTTCGGCCCTCACCAAAATGCGTATGCCCAAGGATGTCAAGCAACTACGTTCCCTTCTCGGTGGTCTCAGCTACTTCCGTAAGTTCCTCCCCAACATGGCTAAACCATTCGACCTCTGACTACTCTACTCAAGAAGCAGGAGAAGTTTGTCTTCACCCCTTCCATGGATCAAGCCGTTCGCGTTTTGTTAGCTGAGTTGGCCAATCCTCCTGTTTTGGTTTATCCAGATTGGGATGCCGTTTCAGACGGCTCGCGACCTTTTCATCTTTACTGTGATGCTAGTCGCGATGGGTTTGGTGGGACTCTCGAACAAGAACAGCCAGATGGTTCCATTCGCCCAATTGTCTTCATCAGTCGGGCTACTTTGGACTCAGAAGGCCACTGGACTCCCCTCGATCTCGAAGCGGGTAGCATCGTGTGGTGTATCAAGCGCCTTCGCGGCTTCTTGTGGGGTACAAAATTTCGCATGTTTACCGACCACAAATCTCTCGAGCATTTTGCTAAGGTGGGGGAGAACAATGCCCGCGTTCAGCGCTGGCTGGGATTTCTTACCGCCTACAATTACACTCTCGACTATCGCAAGGGTCCCGCAAATGGCAACGCTGATTTCCTTTCACGCCTTCCGGTCGCTGCGGCTGAATGCGATCGTTCTGGTGGCAGCCGTCTGACCCCGGCTGAGGATGAGGAGGCAGTGTTTTTCATCCGTTCGTGTGGCCTTACCCCTTCCGGTGATTTGGGGGGGCTAGTTCCTGATTCCCCAACTTCGGTCTTGAGTGGGCTTGCTCCCTGTACCACTGACTTCGCCGATTACCGTCTGGACGGTCCGCGTCTACCGCCATCAGGCCTCTCGTCTTCATCTGGCGTCTGGCACGTCACTCCCTTGTCGCCCAAGATCGCTCCCTTGCCGCCCGAGATGTTCCGCCGTTCCGCTCGGTCGCGATTGCGCAATCGACCTCCCATCGTTTGGTCCGGTTCCCTACGTCAGTCTTTCGATGATGTTTTGGCTCTCGAGCCCGAGCTTCCGTCTGTGCCAACCCGCGTCGGACCCTCGACCCCACCCAAGTGATCTCCATCAGGACTCGTCGTCGCAAGGCAGCTGTGGCAGGCACGCTACTCCCGCCTGTTGATTACGGTTTCTCTGACGATAAGCCTTCTTTGTCTCCCACGCGGACTTCCGCTCCCTCTCGACCGTTTCGGCGGTCTCCGACGGCGCCTTCGTCACCGTCGATGACACGAGCCTTGCCCAGTTCGGTTTCGACTACTGGTGCTGGTGGTTTATCCTTGACTCCCTCCGCGCCTCTGGCTCATGGAGTGGAGACTGCGTCTCCGACGCCTACCACAACTGCGGTTGTTCCTGCTTTGCAGCCTTCTGCAGCCCCCGGCTCTTCGGAGTCTTTGTCGCGTTTGGTGTCAACCACTCGCGCGAATTCGCCTTTGGCTTCCACTGCTGCTCTATCCTCGGATGGGTTGCAGTCGGCGCCTCGCGAATCAGCCCCCTCTTCTATCGAGGCGGCTTTGCACTCTTCGGCGGATCTAGCCTTCCGGGCGTCCGTCGAACGTTTCTGGCATGCTGATTGGGCTCGCGAGCAACGTAACGAATCTGTGTGTGATGCAGCAATTCGTTTCATCCTTCTGGGTCGGCCTTCGGTCCTCCCTACGGATTTCTTGGACCATGTTCCGTCCGCTCGTCGACCCTCTCTTTCGGAGATCCGTTGCTTGTCTAACAAAGGCCGGTTACATGTCGACGATGATGGATTGGTGTTGCTTGTTCGCATGCAAAAAGCGACCCCGTCGTCCACGACCACGCGTCCTGGCGGACGTGTCGCTCGCCTTCTTAACGATGAACCCTTTCGGAATAATGTTCCCATGCTCATGCGTCCGTGGATCATGCAAGTCTGCCACGCTGATGCGTCCTGTCACCTCGTTGCGGCTCGCACGCTTAGCATGCTGGAACGTTTCTATTGGTGGATCGGCATGGGTGTTTGTACGAAGTGGTGGGTGCGGCATTGTTTACGATGCCAAGCCCGTAAATCGTCTCGTCAGACTCTTCGGTGGCCCACCATGTCCCTTCCTTTGCCTTCGGGCCCTGGTGTGTCGGTGAGTGTTGACTATTTTGGTCCCCTTCCGTTGACACCGCGTGGCAACACATACATTCTGCTCTTTACAGACCGTTTCAGCCGCCGTGCTGACATGTACGCGGTTACGGCTGCAGAATTCACCGCCGAAGGCACCGCTGACATCCTTGTCAACAGGAATATCTCCATGTGGGGTTGCCCGTTGAGTCTTTTGTCTTACAACGGCTGTCAGGTTTGCTCTAAACTGTCCCAAGCCGTGTATGCCCGTCTTGCTATCCGCAAAGTGGCAACTAGCTCGCACTATCCTAATGGAAATGGGGTGTGGAGGGTGTCAACTACACTATGGCTCAGACGTTAGCTATGGTCGTCAACGAACGACAAGATGGTTGGGACATCCATCTCCCGCACGTCGAGCTTGCTTGCAACAATTCAGTTAGCGCTGCTACCGGTTTAGCGCCCAATGAGGTGCATATGAATCGCTTGCCTCGTTTACCGATGACTGTTCTTGAGCATCCTTGCGCTCGTGGCCACCAAAGCTTGCATATCACTCGAATATTGCGATCTTTCTGCTGATCGCCAACGTCGTTCTTACGACTTGATGCGTGAACAGCATAAATAACCCGTCCGTTCGCGGATTGAGCGGCGTAACTCCACTCCATCGGACGCTTTACATGAGCTTCCTTCTTACACTGTTTGTGGATAGGTTTGGGTGTATAACTCCGAATCTACCATTCGACAAGGCGTTCGTTCAGGTACAGATGAAAAGGTTCTCAAAGCCAAGTTATCGCTACTCTGGACTGGCCCCTTCAAAATCGTGGCTGTGGGCCCGTGTTCTGACAGTCCTTTGGCTTCCAAGTTGCTTTACTTGGATCTTCCGTCGGACCTGCCGGGCCAAGACTCGAAACCTCGTGTTTCGGTTGTGCGTTGCAAGCCTTGCGCCAACTCGCATGACACCGATGACCTACCGCGCTTTCTGCCTGCTGGTCTTACTCCGTACGTGCTGAACTCTTATGCGAACAAATCTCCTCCCTACCATGTTACGGAAGACGACGTGTCGACTCCGGTTGAACGTTCAGAGGTTGAACGTATTGGTGGCCACCAGTCCGTCCGTGGCCGTGGGGGCACGATGGCTGTCTTATGTAAGACACATTGGCAAGGCCTTCTGCGCCCTTCTTGGGAGCGTGAGATGGACCTTGCAGCACTCCAAGCTGCACATTCACCGGTACTGGGCAGGTTAGCCTGAACAACATCGCCAAATATATCGCCTTATCGTGCGATGCGCATCGGTGCCGCTACCATGAAATTGGCGCGTGCTCAAGGTGCGCGAGCTTTGCCTTCGGGCTACTCGCTTGTCTCCCATTCAACATGGGACCGTCGCTTCGCCAACACTCCTCTACCTGTGAGCGCCTTCTTCTGGTACAAGATACGAGATGGACTCTGGTGGTTGGGCAAGATTTTTGTGGTCGTCCGCTTCTTGGACGATCCTGGACCTGTCAAGGTCGCCTTTCCCGATGTTCGCTACTTTACCGTCGAAACCGCCGTCTCCGGATCCTGGTGCCTCCAACTACACAGCGGCAGCGCCCTATTCAAGGGTGTTCTTCGCAACATCGACCTGTCGCGTGGTGACGTTGTGACCGATTCGTTGCCTGATGACATCACGCGCCCACATTGACGACATGCTTGGTTGTTTGTGCCTTCTCTTGCCTTTAACGTTGGTTTCATTTCTCATTTTCGTCTCTGTGTTTGTAGCGACGATAACGGACTGTTCATATCTCGTAACCTTCCGACGGCATTTGTTTCCCATTTCTTCGTCGTTCCGACGGCGTTTCTTTCGTTTCCTTCTTTCTTTCATCCTTTCTTGCTCTTTTCTCCTGGGTTCCGACCTGTTTCTAGTGCCTATTATTTTCTCTTAGCCTCAGTCGTCCCTTCTTTTTTTTTGGTACCTTTTGCTCAAGGCCAAACGATGGTCTTGTGAGAGGTGTGGGAGGGTGAATTGGGTCATTTTGGAGACCCAAATCCTCGACACGTTTCTTTTCGGATTCGACTTTTGTTTTGTCAAGCCCCGAGGTTTTTATAGTATCTTCGTATGAGAATCTCCAGGGTGGGCTAGTGTTACAGGATCTAGATGCGTACGTACGTATGTGGAGCATAGAAGAGTATTATTATTATTTTGTTTGCCCTTCGACAATTGCAGATAAATGCAGACATACATAAAAAGTCGATCGTTAAGGCCGTCATGCCAAGCCAAATTGACTCGATGCCCAATAGCTAGGAATGTTTTGTGGTTGCAGGTGGCAAGGAAGTAGGAACAAGGGGTGGCAGTGTCGGGGGTCTGGGGGAACATGGGCTTGAGTGGGGGGTGCCTCAGAAAGAGCAAGATGGCGGATGTTTCTCTCTTGGTGTGACCGGTGCCAGTATCGATCAGCAATGCCGCCCAGACTTTTGCGCGCCGATATATGCGTGCGACAGCTTTAACCTAACCACTTCGGTGGAAAGCGGATTTCTGTTCGATACGGTGTCAGGGGTACCAGGAAAGACGGGGCCGAGTTTTGTTTGATTTCGGCTGGATGAGGTTGGGGTTTTGTTCGTTTTTCTCCATCTAAGGTTCGTGCCTAGAGTTCAGCAGTAGTGTCTCAACCAAAGTTTTGTTTGACTTAGAGGCAAACATTCCTAGCTATTGGGCATAGAAGAGTATTGTTCTTGAAGGTTCGGGGAAATGCAACTCCCCACGGAAGGATAAAGCGGGGACAGTATCTAGTAGCCCCTGCTTGAGCAGCTGATCCTGGCCCCATCTTAGACAGTCCTATACCTTCCCGTGTGGCAACAGCTACTGCAGCTGTTCCACACCAGTAAATAACAAGTGGGTTCGTCTTCACGGGTCTCCCAGATTGCAGCGCGCATGCATATCCGTCACAGTGTCGTATTATGTGTGAAGCATGCTGCCTCCGGTGAGTGTTTCACATTCTCGTTTGAATTTTGGAAAGCGAGACGAGGCTGAACTCATTCTACATGCGGTCTCTCGTACGGTGGTCATTGTGCATCCGGGCTTGACGTGTGAAATTGTTGTTATTGCCACTTCCGCAATCAGCCTATCGCGGGGTCGCGTGGCCGTCCTCCCTTCAAGAGCTTTCATTCAGGGACCGCTTCAATCAGCCTATTGCTGGAGTCTGGTTGCTGTTTTGCTGCTGTCGTTGCTGTTATATTCAGGTGACAAGCCGTTCAGACCCCTCTACGTCGTACCTCACTTGCCCGTACTGATCAAACAAATGTTTGCGAATAAAAAATATATATATTTGCTGAACATGTGCACTACATAAGTGTGGCGAGAGATATACCAGTGCTCATGAGGGATTTTCAGGTTCTGAGGTTTGGGGAGTACATATCGACTGAGCAGACATGCATGCACCACGCACGGGTGGCATGAAGTGGTCGAGGCAAGGCCTCGCCCAGTCAGTCGCAGCGATTCCTACGAATGTAGCTTTTTTGAAGCAAAAAATACGACACGGCAAGCAGGACGACCGCAGGAATGAACGCGAGTGAAATGAGAGCTTCTCTAGAAAGACGACCACACCGTACCGTACCTTCCTTGCCCCTGCTGTTCTACGGCACCAATCTACTACGCAAGCCCTTCTCATATATTCTCTCTTCCCGCCTTCCAGATACAGTGTACTTCCCCTACGCACCGTCGGCAACGGGGTAGGGATCAGTGCCTCCTACGATCCAGGTTAAGAGCGCCCCTGACATGAATCGCTTTCCCAAATAGTCGATACAAGTTGTGAAATTGCTCAATGACGCAAATAGATGGTCAACTCCTTCGACGCCCTCTCGCTTTGGTGATGCTGTTGTTGCTGCCTTCTCCGACGCCGGTGCGTCAAGCTCGGGACGATCGAGTCGGCGTTGCTCGCTTTTTCCTGAGCTATTTCTTCCCCGAGGCTTGGCTGGCTAACGCCTCAACCTGTCTTCTCGAGAGAGCTCCGGTTTCACAAAACCACAGATTCGAGCTGCCCCCGCGGCGCCCGGCAATGCCACCGGTGATTGATCTCTATGCCACCCAGCCGTTGCCGCCCCTATCCCGCCTCCGTTTTCTTCTCGGCGACGACGTCGGGGTTGTTCATCCTGTTGTTGTTTCGGCAACCACCGTCGCTACTCTTGTTGGCGATGACATCAGGCCGTCGTTCGTCATGCTGTTTGGTTGTTTCCGCAATCACCACCTCTACTATTTACTCCTCCGTTTTCTTGTGGGCGACGACAGAGGGCGGTTGTCCGTCGTCCTGTGGTTGTTCCGGCAACCACCGTTTAGGGTCTACGTCGAGGCCGTGGCCGCCTTCCGGGCGGTCAAGCACATCCTCCGTCTTTTCATCGGCGGTGGTATCGATATCGATAGCCACCGCGTCCTCCACTGTACCCTGCACATGGGCCTGTTGTTGCGCACACAGAAAATAAAAAAGAACCAGTGTGTGTGCATGCACAAGATTATGAGACACAACAGCATGGCGACGAAACAGAAGCTGGCGGAAGGGCGGAAGCCAAACGCCCCCGATTACCTCGCCACATCGACCTGATTCTCTGCGCTCGCCACGGATGCCCACACAGACATGCCCCCTGGGCACCATGTAAACAAAGTTCATGTTCACTCGCATTGTGAACAAGTGACAAATATCCGGGGCCTGGGCACCACTCCGCTTCACTTCGATGGCAGACACGCCAAAGGCCACGGAATAAAAAATGATAATGCGTAGACTACGCATAGCGAGACTTAAAAACGAGGAAGACGTAGGCTCCGTGAGGGGGGAGAAAAACACAAAAATCCTGTGCCCTGCACGCGGGTCCAACTTGCACACCTGGCCTGCCGCCTGCAAGCGACACCTCCCGCGCAAACGAATGAAGCAATGCCGCTTGTTGACATGGCACGCGTCTATGGAGATCGTGGGCCCTTCGCCGATCGTTGATACCAGATCGTGATACAAGCATTTCCGAGTAAATTCGTACAATAACTTTTTCTTCCACGTTTTTCAATACTTCCAGCGTAAGTACATTCATTCTGTCCATCGAGGCCGACGTATCTGCAGCGAGTAGGTAGCATATGGCCATATATGGTCGGGGTGAAAATAATCATACTGGGAAACGATGGGGCGGACCAAAATCCAAATCCAGCAGTGGAGGACAACTCAGGGTCGCAATCGAGTGAACGCGTTGGGATCTTACAGAGTAGCCGAGCGAAGTCGACAACAGTCCAACAATGGGTGCCATAATTAGGTAACCCTCACAAGAGTGAAACCACAACAAACAACATGTCGGGTTGAACGAACGAACAACCATGGTTTCAAACCAAACGCATCTTGGCCCATGTAAATACGCTCTGCATACCTCTGCGTAAGTAGATCTCTACGCGACAGTGAAACAAATAAATTAATTGGAGCGCCAACAATGAGCGCCTCGGCACGAAGGAGTGAAACCACTCAAACCCTCGCCTCTGACGATGTGAAACGTTCGGGGTGCTAATGAGTTTCATTCAAAACGAGGGCACGGATAGCTGCGCTCATTCAGGTAGACCTCACCAAACCGGCTGTCAAAAGCTCAAACAGCAGAGTACAACTGAACAACAGGCGCGCTGCATGGTTGGACAGAGAGAAACCGAACGACGTGTGAAAATTTCCCATGGGCTATGCGTTGACGAGAAACATGACCAAACCGGTGAGACCCCCGGGTGAAAAACGGTGTTATCTTTACGGCACTCGCCACAAGAGTAGATCGATTATTCCTATGCACGCAGAACTTTCGACTTTGCGAAGGCTGGCCAAACCCGTCTGCCTGCCAAAACTTCACGTGGGCACAAACTGTAATCTAGCGCGTGACACAAGGTGGCTACGTAGGCGATAACGACGACGGGTTACGCGGTCTTGGCAAAAGCTTTAAAGCACCGGTAAGGGAGGCTGCCCGCCGGCGAAGGCACTGTTGTAAGCTGCGACGACCGCATATTGCTTTCTAAATCACTGTTGATTCTTCACAAGCAGCTTGCACAAATGGTGCCCGCGAACGGGGCACTGTTGTAAGCTTTGGGCACTTCTCTTCTTTCTCGACCACCGCGAGGCTGAGCATGTCTTGAGCCGGCGAGGGCATTGTCGCAAGCTCTGCCCTCTTTCGGCCTTTCTCCCCACTTTCTCCCTACTCACCGCCTTCTCTTCGCCACCGCCGGCGCTGGCATTTGAAACAACGTTGGTGGCTTTGGTCGAGGGCGTGGCGACGCGACGAGACCTGAGAAAAGGAGATTGACGTGACACGGAGGCTTCCGTCATCGAACCAATGAACAGACGATTTGTCTGTGCGAGTGCAAGCGCGGCTAGCGTTAGTAGCAATACCACCTACTGCAGTCCGGTGTGAATAGCCCTTGGAGGAACCAAAGGCCCACAGGGACACGCACCAAACAAAATGTTGCAGGAGCACATGCGCGCGCACGTGAGCGAGAGTGAGAGAGGAGGGGGGGGAAAGGGGGGGAACGAAAGAGGGAAAGGGAGAAAGACAGAGAGAGACAGAGGCGGGCGCACACAGAAAAGTGAAAACGACACCTCACCCTTACAGAGGTCGAATAAAGTAAAAATTAGTGTGTTGAAATTGCGAGCAAGATTCTATTTATTTATTTTTTACAATATTCTTTTGTCGATTTTACCTACCCCCTCCGGGATTCGTTTCCCCCCCCCGGTGTTTGCCATCGGGGTTGGGTTTTCGTCGCTTGGCA